ATGGGATAATGGTGAGATCCATCATGGAATTCCCATGGGAGTTGGATGACTCAGATAAATCCATGGAATTCCCACAGGAATTCCCGTGTTCCTCAGTTCCATCCTCCCAAATCCCACATTCCCAAATGCCACATTCCCATGGGAATTCTGTCTCCCTCACCTTTGCGCTCCAGTGCCTCCCGCCCGTATCCAACGTATTTCTGGAGCCATTCTGGACAGATGTTCCCCAGGTAATTCCTGAACCCCTCTGCCACGATCCCATCGTGTTCCCATTTCCTCTTGGTGATCTGGGCAGCTCCATCGGCCGCCACGAAGTTCCCAGATCCCAGCTCGAAGGAGATGAAATCCTGCCCGTCGTAGCCGTGCCGTTGGGATCCACGGACACTTCCATCGGACAGGAGGTCACAGCCATAAAGCCGCTGCACCGTGTGGAGACCTGGGGGTTGGGATTGGACCCATGGAGACCCTGGAATTGTGTCCCAGCCCCATAGAGCCCCATCCCAGCCCTATGGAGCCCCAGAGTGCGATGGAGACCCACAGAGCCTCATCCCAGCCCCTTGGAGCACCTTGGATCCCCATCCCAGCCCCACAGATCCCATCCCAGCCCCTTGGAGCACCCTGGATGCCCCTCCCAGCCCCATGGATCCTCATCCCAGCCCCACACATCCCCCCATTCCCCAGCTCCCCCCGCTCACCCCCACTCCAGTTGTACCGGCCCCCCACTGTCTCCAGGTTGGTGGCATAAATGAGCCGGTTCCTCTCAATGATCTGGGTCTGTCCATCCCAATATCCCGGCTCGGCTCCGGCCGCCATCCACGGCGTCAGCGGCTCCAGCCGGTCCCGCTCGCTGTCGTAGCGCACAAAGGGGATCCCGTCCACGTATCCCAACACCATGAATTGAGGGATCCCTGGGCTGGGTTCCGTCACCGCCACATCCAGGTAACGCAGGGAGTGGAGAACTGGGGGGACACAGAGATTTGGGGGGTCTGGGGGTGTCCAAGGGTCAAGGCAAGGGGGAACTGGGAGAGCTGGGAGAGCCGGGAAGGGAGTTTGGGGATCCCAGGGCCAAGGAAAGGAGGGTGTAGGGACTGGGACAGGTGGAATGGGGTATCCAGGGGTCCCTGTGCCCAGGAAAGGGGAGCCTGGGGGGTCCCAGTGTTGGGGAAAGAGGGGTCATAAAGTGAGGAGACCCAGAATGGTCCAGAAAGGGGGTGCAGGGGGGTGTTGGTGCAGGATAACAGGGTGCAGAGGGACCCTTGCGCCCTGGAATGGAGATTCAGGGGGTCCCTGTGCCCAGGAAAAGGGGGGTCCAGGGGTCGCTGCTGTTGAGGAAAATGGGGTCTGGGAAAGGCAGGAATGGGGGTGCAGGGGGTTCCATGGACAAGGAAAAGGGGGATCTGGGCTCCGGAAGAGGCAGGAAGGCCAAGAAAGAGGGTGCAGGAAGGTGTTGGTGCAGGATAAGGGGGTTCAGGAGGGTCCC